AATTTCTTGCATAAGTAATGGGCGACGAATTTAGTAAATTGACGCGACGTATAGAGATGTCAAAATAACGATGCTTCGGGTGAATTTTTGAGAAACCTTTCCGTTTTGTTTTTGATTCTTCGGTGATAGTTTCTTGGAGTCACTCACGAAGTTTTACCCAAGGTTATTTCACCGAGATCTAGTCGCAAAACTTTTTAGCAGGTTTCTTGAGCGGAATAGGATCACTTGACCAGCAATAGGATCAGTCGGCGAGCAGGAAGGACGTGTTCCCTATTGCTGCTTCTTGTGCTCTCGATTTTTCTTTTGCCGCAAATGTTCTTGATATTATTCCGTGACTCATTTAGTTCGACGGAAAATGAGAGCAATGCTTTGATGCCTAAAGATTTATCGTATAGTTTTTTGATTCTTATATGAAACTTCTTGTATCAATATGGAAAAGATCTTTATGACTTCGACAGATCATCTAGTTTCACTCAGAAGTTTGGTAGAGGTTTTCTAAACGCATGATTGCGATGAGAGATGCTGTATAGTCCTTGAGATTATTTCCCAGACGGTTTTGATCAGTCTTTAGCGTTTAGACGGATCTTAGATTGTCGTTTTTTTTTTGGATGATTCTGACGAGGCATCGCATTGTCCAAATATTTTTCGCCTATTTTGCGAGAGTTTGCTTTGTAGAAAACGTTTTCTGGATGCGAGGAAAAATGTTTTCTGAAATATGGGAGTATATGAGTATGTATACGCACCTGATCCCTCCTTTTTTTCTTTGAAGGATTGGGATGAAGGACAATCTGGCTTTACGAAGTATGTCTGTTTTACAAAAAAATTCTAGGAACGAGTCGGTTTGACGACGTCAGTGTGTCTAGTTCCTTATTTCTTTAGGAAATGAGATGGGTACGCTCGAATGCGTGGCGGTCGTTTCTCGGTTGTACGAGATATTGGATCGGTTTGTGAGTTATGCCTGAACAATTAGAGAACAATAGATCGAGATAGAAAAAAATTACCTACAACTTAGCATGCTAGACTATCCCCTAAATTCTAAGTTCCCTAACTTTTACGGCAGTTTACAAGACGTTTTCATTCCTTGCCTACGATAAATTAGAAGTCTAATAAAATTTTCAAATCAGACATACCTTAGTTTCATCGATGATTTTGGACTGCCTCTTCTTCGTTCTTCACCTTTTGACTTATTTTTGTATGAATCGGTCTTCGACGAAATACCAACAAGAATATCAGAGTGAGGAAGGGACTTCAACATCGGAGTTTATGTTCTTTTTTCTTTGTACTGCTGGTTTTACTTAAATGACTAGGTGTGCTTCGTATATTGTTGAAAAATCCATCACACGTTTATGATTAGATGTTTTCGACTTAATGTGGCAGAATTTCGTAAAACCGGAATGTGTTTAGAGAGTGCAAATCTCTCGTATAGTTTAGAAAACTTTGGTGTTGTGTCAACCGTTGCCGTTTTAGGCGATCGATTCGAACTTCTACGAGAAAGCAATTCTTTGCGTTTTTTTTAAAACGCGATAAGGGCCCATTCACGACTCTAGACAAGATCCAGCCCAAAGATATGATGACGGTTTACTCATTACTCACATGAATGGGTAAATGTCTAGTTTGAAGACAAAATAGAAGTTTCCGAAGAAAACTGGAAAGATCGAGATAAATGGAAGATTTCCGATAAGCGCGTATTGGAGCGGAAAATGAAAGACCAACCGCCAAGAGAATGAGTATATAAGCATGAGGTCGAAGTCAAGAGGAGGCAGAGCTTTTTAGACCAAGAAAAACTGTTGTTAGCTTAGACAAATTTAGGACTTAGGTGGCTAGTCTAGCAAGTCGGATTCTTAGAACGTTTGGTTGTCTCAGTTCCACATTCTCTTTGTAACAGCTCTCAATCTCTTTATCAATAATAGCTTTGCGCAATTTCTTCATCTATATTCTGTTATCTTTTTCGTTTTAGAGTGCTTCAGCAGAGATCCAGAACCTCGGAAAAATTAGGATTTTCCCTAAGTTTCCATATTTGACGGAAAATCGACAGTGTGAATTTCGGTTCCCACAACCTTGGTGATGTTTTTCAGGCCGGACAAGAAGATGGACGAGCTAAGGCCCATTCGGCCACAAAGAGGCCCAACCCAACGACTAACATAAGCAACCAACTAGCTTTTGGACCGGGCCAACAACCAGAGCCAGGTCCAAAGCCCATTAGGAGGCTATTCAACACTTAGCCAATTTCGTGAGGCATAAGGAAAAGAGGGAACCCATATGAGAAGATAAACTAGCTTGTTGGTTTAATGTGTTTTCAGTTTTGTAATTGAATTAAACCAACTTTGGGTAGGATTATGATTTAGAACCGATTTCAAATAGGATTAGGAATAAACCAGACCAATATGGTTAGGTTAGGGTAGCTTAGGGTCGGCGCTTTCTTTTACCTTTGTATTCTTGTAGCAGCTTTAGGTTAAACACACAACTTTTATCAGAAAACGTTAAGCAGATTGCTTGTCTATGTTCAGCCTAAGAACATTGATCCTTCACACAAGGTAGAGTGATCTATCGTGATGCGTATTACGCTACACAGGGTTATCCAGCGTCTAGAGAGTAACAAAGCATCTTTGGAGTATTCCCATAACTCTGAAGAGAATTCCATCAACCAACGAGTGCTAGTAGCCTCTTAGGTCACACTACGATTCATACCATTCATAAGATCCTAGCAGAAAAGCTTACTAGGGACGCACCACTCAATATACGGAAAAGTGAGTATTTTATTCCTCAAGTATTTGTATCGGCAGTTTTAATATCCAACTATTTGTTTGCGCAAAATTATTTCCAAACTAACAGTTGACTACGCAAAATTTAGAATAAAATAGTCAATTGTTAATTGGTTAACAGAATACTAACGATTCCCATTATTTTTAAACGGTTAACTATTCTAATCATAACTTTGTGCAGTCAATTGTAGTTATAGAATAAATATGCATATATTACTTAAGTATTTATATTGCTGATTGAAAATATTTGAGGAATTTAAAACATACTTTTTCATTATGTTTCTTATAAATTTTAAAGTCAGGAACACCAATCCTTTTTTAAATAAATGTTCAAAATATTATCAAATTAAATAAAAACCAATATACGAGTATTTATCTTTAGAGAGAGATTGTTGATTTTTTCCATTGACATAAAAAAACAATAAAAAAATAATTATAGTTACATTGTATTATTAATATACTTTATTTTTATAAAATCACTCTAGATGGTTATTAAAATAATTTCTAATTTAGAAATTTTCAGTTAAACAGTATACGAAAACTTCAATACTGAAAAGGATTTTAAGTTTTTAAAAAGCATATAAACAATATATTATTATTAAATTTGCATTGTATTGATGATGTGTAATATGTAATTGTCTAAAATATAGATAATTACATTTGATTGTCTAAAGTAGAGATCCAATGTACAACATATAATTGTTTAAGCAATACGATGCCACTATAGTTGTTTGTATTGTTTTGGATCCACAAGTCTCTGTCGAGTCGAATTCTTAGCTGAGACTTGGTAGGTATCCAAAATATTTTGTGTATATTAGGTATAATTAATATTTTGAATATGTTTTCGATATTAGTGATAATTTTTAATTTTCACGTTTTTGTTTTAGGTTATAGTTTCGGCCTTCAAGTAATATTTCAATTTTTTTTAAAAAAAAATTGGATATTCAGAAAGAAATTGAGTTAGTTTTTGGTTCTCTGAATCAAATTTCAGATAAAATTTTAGATTTTTTTTTGGATATTTGAATATTTTTAATATTTTTGAGTTTTTGAATATGTTTTCGTGTCAAGTATTTTTTGGGTTTTCAAATGTTTTTTTTTTTGGTTTTTAGATATGTCAAGTTTTCTGGGTCTAAAATATTCGAACCCTTCGACACCTGTTATGTAATTAGTATATATAATTATGGTACCCAAACATAATATGGTATGTGCTTCGTTATAGTGCTTCGTTATAGTGCTTCTTTCTTTAAACTCTAAGAAATAATGTAATACCGTAGGTATATGTTATAACAAAAAGCGATTAGTTTTGTGAGCTGCCATTACCTTGTAAATCGATTGATAACAGTCCTGAGAGACATCTGTATGGTAGACGGTTCTTGAACCTCTACAGATCAATTCATTGGCTGTGGTTGGAATTGGAAGGATAGCATGGGCAATAGTCAGTTGTTGGGTATGCGTAATGTTAGTAGGGTGGAGTCGACTTTGCACTCTGAGCTGGAAGCACTGCGGTGGGCAATGGAGAATATGCTTCAACATTCGCCATGTCAGAGCTTTGGGACAGATTTCAAGGAATTGATAGTGATGCTTACAAACCCCCATGATTGGCCAAGCTCCTCGATGGAAATGGAGAGGATCTTGACACTGCGGATATGCTTTCTGAGTTCAAGATATTTTATGTTCCTAGGTCCCAGAATGTTGTGTCAGATTCTTTAGCTAAGACTGCTCGATCCTTCTATCAAGAGCTATTGTATGGTAGTTGTTCTATTCCGGTCTGGATTTCCAGACCACCTCAAACTTGGGTAATAGATCAGCCTTTCGTTATCAAAAAAAAAAAAAAAAATCAATTGATAACAGCAATTAACATAATCAACTAATATTAAAAGGGCTTGATTCTCACTGGAGAAGGATGCCACATCAGACTAAATATTCAACCAATCACATAGCCCTGTTTTGCCATGTCATAAAACGTTGTTGGGTTTGGGCCACTTATATTTCGAATTTTTTTTGGGCCGTCCGGTTTACACAGCCCATTTCTCGGGTTGGCTAACCCTAGCCGGGAGAGTGATGTCTCTCTTTCATCGCCTCCACACCGCAACCCTCTGCTTCCTCTGAAACTATAACGTTTCATCCACCTCCTTTGCATTCAATCCTTCATAATCAATCAATGGGTTCGTTTCACCTTCTCCTTATCCTTCGCAAACTTCTCTCAAGAGTTCAATTGATGGAAGCCCCGGCGATTGCATGTCTAAGCAAACAAATGACGTCTCCTCCGCGGTCGATCAGAAGAAGGGGTTCAAGACCGATGGCTCATCTACTCCAACGGAGTCCAAACGTCACTGTCCAAATTCCAGAAACCGCAAGTCAGTGATTGATACCGACGGCTCTTTCTGGGATGTCCATATGGAGGAGAAGAAGAGCAGAGTTTTGGTCATTGGAGCAACCGGAAGATTAGGTCAATACTTGACCCGTTTCAGCATCCAATCGGGTCACCCAACTTTCGCCCTCATTATAAACTCCACTTTCTCCGATCCTTCCAAGTTTGTTAAGCTCGAATCTCTCTCATCTGCCCGCGTCACTCTCCTCAAAGTCTCTTCTTTCTCCAATAACTTCTCTCATAAATCTGAAAGTTTCGCTTCTTTTTTTTTTAATTCTTCGTTTTATTTGGTTATTGGGTTTTTAGGGTTCATTGGAGGATGAAGCAAGCTTAGAAGTAGCAGTAAACAAAGTCGATGATGTCATCTCTGCGGTTCTTACAAAACGTGCTCTTGATCAGAAACTTCTCATCAACGTCATCAAACGAACTGCCTCCATCAAGGTCCCTCTCTCTCTCACTCTCCATCATTCACATTTTAGTATTGTTTGATAAAACTTAGAACATGACATTGTTTGATGCATAGGTTTATACTTGCTTCATACGGAGCAGATCCAGACAAAACACAAGTCTCTGATCTTGATCACGGCTTCTACTCCAAGAAATCTGAGATAAGACGTCTTATAGAATCATCAAAGACTCCACACACATACATTTGCTGTGGATTGTTCATGAGGATTCTACTTCAATCTCTTGTGCAACCTTGTTTTCAATCTCCTCCAATGGATAAAGTCACAATCTTTGGAGATGGAAACGTTAAAGGTTTCTCCTTTCTTTTTCATTTAACTACATACAAGTCTTTGCTTTAATAACACAAGTCTTTTATATCAGTTGGTTTGTTATGTCTGTTTGTTTGTGTAGCTGTTTTTATGAATGAGGTTGATGCTGCGGCATTTACAATCAAAACGATTGATGATCCCAGAACACCGAACAAGACGTTGTACCTTAGGCCGCATGGGAAGCTCTCAGAAGACGATGAAACAAGTTCCACAATCCACATATCAGATTTCTCATAGGTTTGCTCTAATGGTTTCATTAAATTAACTAGATATAGTTGATCACTGATATCAGTGCATTTGCTCTTACACTGTTTTGTTCAAACTTTTGGTGAAAATTAGAACCAATAAGGGTTTGAGTAAATATAACCAATGGGCACACTCATCCATGTTTCTGATTTTTAGAAGGATTCAATGGACCTGTTTTTTTTTTTTTGTCACAGAGATTCAATGGACCTGTAAACGACAGTGATTTGCTATAAAAGATGAGTGTTGATCTTTTTGTAATGTTTCCTGTGGATCTATATTTTTTACTAACACCAGGGAAAGGACAATATGATTTGAAATTGTTGTTTGTTCAGTTGACCTGATTGTTTTAATATTGTTTTCACTACAAGAAATATGCTCATTGTTAGCGCGGGTTTTATGCTATTGATAGACCATGATTTTGACCCGCTTTTGGTCATATTTTCTATATGTTTTTATTATAATTATCTATGTTTTGGAGTCTATTAGGTATGTTTTCAGGTTCAGGAGCACTTTGTGGTAAATTGATGATTTAGGTGCCTTTTGGTGCTTAAAGAAGAGTTTTCCAAGATGACTATGAAGATCCGATATAAGAGATACATATCGATCGATACACACCCTGTGTAATCGATCGTTGACGCTTCCGTAGAAGTTGAAGTCGAGATCCTCCATCGATCGATGTACGCAATGTACCACCGATCGATACAGAGCGTGATGAGCAAGATGTATTTGGCCAACTTGAAGCCCAAGTTCTCACCAAATTACAAGACTGCCCCTGACGAGTTTTTAACCTACTTGTACTCCCTATTTATACCTATGCCTATGAGCCTTAAGAGATATGAAGTTTTGAACCAAGTTTTGTATTCTATTCTATTCTATTTAGCAATAAAAGCATTCTCTTTTCTTCTTATTCATTTGCTATGAATCTCTTGGCTATGCCTGAGTAGATTCATATGTTAGATCTAGGGTTCAAACAGTTGTGAGGGATTAGCCCCAACTATGGATTGTTGAGTTGTTATATTCATTATCCAAATGAACCCTAATGCTTACTCTAGACTTGCTACCTAGAGTATTGATTATGGAGTGACTAATCTAATAGTCATCTTCCTGAAATCATTTAGCTAAATCCAGACTCTATTAAGGCACGATGCGACAGCCGGTCTTATAGAAATTCTCGGGTGAACAAAGTTCGATCCGATCTGATACTTAATATCGATCGATGCTCTTCTAGAGTTATCGATCAACGACAGCTTATATCGATCGACACTGCGATAGCAACATCGATCGATGCAGTCGGCAATCAGATCAATGGACGAGTCTAACTAGCGACAACTATAGATTTGTCTAAGGATTGAAGTTCTCATATATTTGCAAGCAATTCGTTAAGACATCCATAGATATATAATCCTGATTTTCTGAATAGCAACCTTGAATCTAACTATTTTCCTTCATCGTTTTCAAAACCCAAAACCTATTCTCTTTAGCAACTTACCATTGCTACTTATTTTATTTACTGTTTTAAACATTTTTCAACCTAGCTTAATCACTTAGGATTATATCTTTTGTGTCTCTAGTTCCTTGTGGATTCGATCCCTAAGTACTACGATTGAACCTCTTTTGATGAGAGTAATTCACTCCTTACGGTAATTTGAGTGATATCAAATTTGGCGCCATTGCCGGGGAACTAAGATCACTATTAGATTTAATCTGATTCAGTCTAGGTTATTTGTTATTTTATTTTTCTATCTTTTGACATAAAATCTTTTTCTTTTTCTTTTTGTCTCTTTCAGGTACATGCTCAGCAGTACTAGAAGCAACAAGAACAAGCAGCTTTTGTACTCAGAAGATCCCAACAACCTAGAGCGTAGCATCCGCAAGGACATACGCTCCGCATCGATCGATACCAATACCATCGTATCGACCGATACGCCCTTTCCACTGACGATCAACAACCGTTCGTCAACCGACACCTTCACCACCTCATCGATCGACATCAACAACCGTTCGTCGACCGATACCCCTCACTTGACATCGATCGATACACCACACCTGACATCAATCGATACTAACCGGCGAGACATGGTAGCGCCTATGATTCTCATATCCGATGAGAATGAAGACCTGCGTGATCAAGACGATCACCTGCGAAATGCAGCAGGTCAGAAGTTGAATGATCAGAAGGAGATCATTATTGAAGAAGAGACTACACCTACAGGCATCATTCAACCTGTAGAGGAGACCAGAACTTTGGCTGACTAACCCCGCCCCGATCATTTCTATTCAAACAGATCAGCCATCCTACCTCCTGCCATCGAGAGAGGAGATTTTGAGCTCAAGCCGCAGTACTACACACTTGTGTGTCAAATCCCGTTTTGTAGTTTGCCCCATGAGCATCCTATGGACCATTTGGAGAGGTTCGAGGATCTTGTCACCCCCGATTTCAAGAGAGCCCTTGATACAGCTAGCGATGGCAACTTCACCACCAGGAATCCTCAGAATGCTATCAAGCTAATTGACAACTTAGCTTCCAACAACAGCACAAGAAACTATATGAAGACTACATCCCCTGGGAAGGAGTATGTCAATGAAGTTCAAGCACAGCTAGACAACATTCAGGAGCTCCTAAACAAGCAGATCTGTGTAGTAGAAGATTCAGAAATGGTTGAAAAAGACGTCAACTGGATTAGTGGAGCCGGTTTTCAGAGATCTGGTAACCAAGGAGGATTCAGAAACTTCACAGGCCAGAGAAGCAACTATAACCAGAATCCCCAGAAGCCCAACACTTTCAGCAGCAGCAATCCTAACAACAACAGAAGCTATGGAAGTGACTTCTACTCAAATCCACACCCACCCACCCAAGATACTAAACTGGAGGAATTGATGGACAAGATACTTGAGAGTCAGCAGAAGCTCGAGGTAAACTTCAATGGAAAGATAGATTCTGTCTACACCACCTTCATGACGAAGATATATGCACTCAGCACCCATGTGAAGAAGCTAGAGACCCAGGTGTTCCAGATAGGAGAAGCAGTCAAGAAGCAGGAGTTTACCCACACCCAGAACATTAATGCCCTCCTAGATGATGACTTTTTGCAAGAGGTAGTAGAAGAGATTCAGAGATCTGATGATGAGAGTGAAAGAGAATTCGCCTACGACTACTATCGATCGATATCACCAGCTCGCCATCGATCGATATCACCGTTAGTTCGTCGATCGATTGACTTCGACGATGTCGATCGATGAACTACGGCGAAAACCCTTGCGAGTGCAATTTCGTCAAGATTATGTCTCACACTGAATTCACCGCACTTCACCCACATCCGCCCAGCCCTATCATCGATAGATATGATGCCCCCATCATCGATCGACATCCAGACCCTGGCATCGCTCGACACACACCTACCAGTGTCGATCGATATGAAGTACCCCAACGCCGAGTGCCACTACCCAAAATCGACAGTGCAGGTCTTGACGCTTTCCGGGAGCGATATTACACCACCAGAAACCCTACAGCAGCGCTAAAAGAGAGACTCACAGATACTTTTGAGTCCATGGAGATAAAAATGGAAAATATGGGGAGAGTGCTCAGAAAAAGGAAAGAGAAGATACCTAAACCCTATAAAAGAGAAGCTAATGAGAAAGAGTTGTCAAGCTTCAGAAAAAGAGTCCTCAGAATACCTAAAGAGAAACCTTTTGAAGAAGCCTACTTTTCACACAGATTGTGGATGTTCTTCAGAGAATCAAAGGAGACAGAAGCAGACATCAGGAGGATGTTTAACCAAGTCAGAGATAGTCTCAAGCAGAAGATCACACTTAAGAAGAAGAATGATGCAGGGAAGTTCACAACACCTTGTTCCATTAGAGGTGTTGAGTTCCAACGTGCCCTTTGTGACACAGGATCTGGAGTTAGCATCTTACCCAAGCTCATGGCAGATCATCTTGGTCTGAAGATAGAGCCTTCTGAAGAAACTTTCATCTTTGTAGATTGTTCTCAGCAAAGCTCTGGAGGCATCGTTCGCAACCTTGAGGTACAGATTGGAGAAACCCTAATTCCTACAGACTTCCACATCCTCTCCAACAAGCTGAACTTCAAGACTTCTCTACTACTTGGAAGAGCCTTCTTAGCCACAGTTGGAGCTGTTTGTGACCTCCAAACAAACAAGCTCTGCCTAACCCTAATCAACCCTTCCATTCACTACGATCATGTACCAGTAATCAAGTTCCCAAGGCCAGCCAGCTCAACACTCGTAGCCACATGTTTCTGTGCCCACGAATTTGATTCNCTCTACTACTTGGAAGAGCCTTCTTAGCCACAGTTGGAGCTGTTTGTGACCTCCAAACAAACAAGCTCTGCCTAACCCTAATCAACCCTTCCATTCACTACGATCATGTACCAGTAATCAAGTTCCCAAGGCCAGCCAGCTCAACACTCGTAGCCACATGTTTCTGTGCCCACGAATTTGATTCTATGGAAGAGTATGAAACCGAAGAAGCAGTATCGACCGATGACACAACTACCCCATCGATCGATATCCTTGCAGCACCATCGACTGACAGTCCTACCCGGTCATCGCTCGATGGAGCATTCCGACGAACCGAAGCCAAGTTCCCAGAAGCCGATTTCAACGCAGAAGATTGGGAAAACGATCACTACTTGCCCGAGCTTGCTAGTATCAATACTCAGGAGGAGTATGATGAAGATTATGAGGAGGAACGAGCTATAGAGTACCGATTTCTTCGAGAAGATGAAGAGCAACCTCCATTCCCGACCTTCATTCGACGAGCATCGACCAATATGACACCTGGTTCATCAATCGATATGCCCTACCCCAGATCGCGCAAACGATGGTTCGAATCAACAAGCGATGAACCCTACTGCAGACCAGTCTATGTCCCACACGAACCACGAGACGGAGATTACTCGATTGAAAGCTGGGCCAGCGGTTATCACGAAAGTTTTGCAGTAGACACAGCACCCCTACAAGCCGCGACTC